CCCAACAAACGGATGATGTTTGGGTCATTCAGCCGGGACATGATTTTGATCTCTTTTAGGAAATCGTTCCTAAGGAAGGGAAGAAGAAGAAGGATGGATGGCCAAACATTCGGTGGTGAAAAGCTGATGGACATCATTATTGTTCCAACTTTATGGGGAAAGAAGCATATTTAGAATAGAATAGAACAGAATAACAGAGTTGGGAGGGACCTTGGAGGTCATCTAGTCCAACCCCTTGCTCAGGCAGGAAACCCTATACGATTTCAGACAAGTAGCTTGTCCAATCTCTTCTTAAAAACTTCCAGTGGTGGAGCACCCACAACTTCTGGAGGCAGGTTGTTCCACTGGTTAATTGTTCTAACTGTCAGGAAATTTCTCCTTAGTTCTAGGTTGCTTCTCTCCTTGATTTTTTTCCATCTTCTTGTCCTGCCCTCGGGTGCTTTTCTGATCAAGGGTCAAAAATTAAGTTGATGCCACATGTTTTTGGACCTCCTGTTTCATGCAAGTCATTAATTAGTTTAATTAAACTATCACAGTTAATGCGATCACAACAGAGGGCTATCCGGGCTCCAGTGAGGAGGAACTGTCACTCCTCTTGATTGTTGGTTTCTTTCCTGCAAAGGAAGTTTATCCTAGGATTAAACCAGAATCTCCCTTCTTAGACTTAGGACCATTTCTACATGTCCATAGATAGCCTAGGGTGGTAGACAACAATGCCCAAAAGATTGAAATGACATCTGCTCAGATCTTTGAGAACCTTTGAGAGAGTAAGCAGGTTCCCACTTCACTGATGCTTGCTCATTCAATGAAACTCACCTGGCTGTCTTGGTGACATCCGTTCTCAACATCTTCACAGCCACCAGAATCGCCTGGCTGGAACTGTCTGGAGAAGCGCGGCCCAAGAATTCCAGAAGACCCACAGCTTCACACAGGTGGACCTGTCCATGGGAAGGGCCAACCCATGAAAGCAACAATTAGGTTCAGCTACAACCTACCTGCAGAGTTCAATTTAACCGAACGGTGAGCAGTCAACGAATTGCCCTACGTCTCCTTGGATTACCGATCTCTGACCGGGAGATGTGATCTACTCACTTCCCCACACTGCCCTTCTTGATATACTCACCTCCCCAAATTGCCCTTCTCCCAACTTCTCCTTGAGCTGCAGCTGGTGCCGGGGAAACTCGGCTACGGAGATGTCCTTCTTGGTCAACGAGTCAACAGTGATGGCCGGCACGGCGTAGGTGTTGTTCCCGGTCACCCCTTGCAAGTTGACGATGTCCGTCTCCGCGTAATGGGGAACATTGTTCTGGAATCCCTGGTGAGGGGTGCACTTGGTGAGGTCGGGCTCTGCATAATCCCCGCTGCAGGCTGAAAGACCAAGGGAGACAAAATGGGTTCGGACCAAGGTCACGCTCAGAATCCCAGACCATTTATTTGGGGCTTCCTCTTCCACTGTTGGACAAAGCAAAAAGAGAGTTTTAGACAAAGACTCTGAAGGCACTTCCAATCGGATGCTTTCTTTTCGAAAAGTCTCAAACGTTCTGGATGTTTGAAAGATGAAGCCTTCTGAGTCGGCTGTAAAATGTGTCAGATCTTATTTAGATGTTTTGGCTGAAGATCTATCTCCTGGTGACCTTCTTCTCATGTATGAGTCGCTTGGGGTTTTATCAAGAGTAGATGAATGTTTGAGGTTGGGTTGAGAAAAGTCAACTGCTTTTCTTTGGCGGGGGATAAACTGGCATAGAGTATAGAATCATAGGCTGGAAGGGATCTCAGAGGTCTTCTAGTCCAACCCCCTTCTCACGCAGGAGACCCTATACCATTTCGGATCAAGGACTGCCCAGTCTCTTCTTAAAAACCTCCAGCGATGGAGCACCCACAACTTCTGGAGGCAAGCCCTTCCACCGATTAATTGTTCTAATGAAATTGTTGGTTTCAGGGTTTGGTCTACCTGGTAGGACTGACCTCTGAGGAGGCAAAAGGGATCTATCAGGATTCATTCCGCTGCAGAAATCTAGGGAACAACCTCACCTGGACTGCCAATTGATCTGGTAAGCCACTAACCAAACGCTGTTTGGAAGGCAGAAAAAAAATAAAAATAAATAGAAAGGAAAGAAGAGACTGAAAAGAAAAGCTGCCAAAAATGGAATAGAAAAAAAAAGGAGGGGCAGGAGAGATCAAATCCTGGTAAGAAGGGAGGGAAAGAGAGATCCCATCCGTTATTCTCTCTGGACCTATACATTAGTGGTTACAGCGGCCTCGTCCCGTGCAAATTACTCGGGGGAAAAACTTGTAAGAAAAACCATTCTCCATGTATAGCTTTCAATTAGAACAGGAGGTAGTTATTTTCTTCATCCCGTCTGCTCTCTTCGTCCACGCTTGTGAAAGATGCCAGTGGCCAAACCAAGTAGAACCGTGCTCTGGAGCCCACAATGATCACCAACACACTCTTCCCTCAACCCACAGCTCAAGGGGGATGTGTTGTGTGAACACAACCGCAGTAAAAGCTTCCCTACCTGAGTCTTCGGCACTTTGAGATAACTCTGGCAATTTCTGGAGGAGGGTGAGAGGCTGGTGGTATTCCAGATCCAAGGGGAAGACTCTCTCGTAGGTGGGGTTGCTCTGGTGGATCTGGGTCTGGCCGTTGACAATTCTGGAGCTGTAGAAGGAGAGACGGACCGTGGCATCTTCTTCCAGGATTCGCCGGGGAGCCTACGGGAGGAGAAGCTACTGAGATCATTTGAGAGATCTTTTCCAGAACGGCTAACCCCATTGGGAACTGGGGTATTCTTTCTCCGAAGCTTGAGAAAGTTCTAGGTAGCTCAACAAGGGAGGCACGGTACCGTCTCCAGATGCTTCTGAGCATACTGTCTCCACAGGATGGCGATGATCACCACCAAAAGGAGAAGAATGATGGCCACAAGACAGCTGATCAGACTAGAAGAGTTGGAGTCCTCTGCCTTCTGCTCGACCCTGGGGCTGATGGAAGCTAGGGCACTGCTCCCTGTAAAGTAGGTTCATGGTTCATCAGTCCAAATCAATCTAGAATGAAAGGGTTGAAAATAGCTCTGGAGGTTTCCCAATCCAACCCCTTCCTCAGAGAAGATCTAAATCCTTTGTCTCTCTGGCTTCTTACCCAAAGTCCCCTGTGTAGTGTTTGGTCTCTCTGATGATGGATATGATTCCGTGGTGGGACTCCATGCAGAAGTAACCAGGATTGGGTCAGAAGCATCCATGTTCACTGAAGAATTGGAAGGGGAGAAACAAGCATTATCTCAATATACAGTCTTAACCTGAGAAGTCTGTCTATTTTTATATCTCCCTCCCTCCATGTCTCCTCTCTCTCACTTTNCTTTCCATCCATCCATGTTTTTTTTCTCTCTCTCTCTTCCTCTTTCTGTATCCCTCCCTCCCTTCATCATTCCATCCATCCATCCATCCATCCCACCCAAATTTAACCCTGGGGGCTCACCTGATTGAAAAGAAACTTCGCTTATCATCATCCAGGTATCAGCAAAGTAGAAATGGCAAAGAATGGCTTTGCCAATATGATGGTTGAAGGGGACGGTCACGAATCGCGCGCTGGGATTCTTGTCATCCAAAACGGTGTCCAGGCCCACAGGCTGTGGATCCCACTCAGTGGCCGACTGCGGCTTGAAGACACACTCCACTCTCTCGAAGATCTTCACCCCTTTGGAAAACATGTTGTTGCAGTGGACCTGCAATTCCGCAGCAGCGGGGAAAGAAAAAAAAATGGCAGCCATCAGATAACCAGGTTGGTTTTCCGTTGCAGGAAGTGGCACGTCGCTCTGACATATCGACGGGCTCAACGTAAACCTGTGGAGGCCGTGTGCTCAGCCTGGCTTGGCAGAAAAGGCAGGCATCAAAAATTTTCCCCAGAAGAAGGCTCTACCTTCATGGAGGTGAAGTTCCTCTGGTGGTCAAACTGGAACTCCATCTCCAAGACGCCGTTCCGTAAGCTGTCGTTCCTCCAGCCGATGTAATCGTAGCCTGGCCACACTCGGTATTGGTGGCTCTTGGTGAAATCATCCAATCCCAGGACACCGTCTGTAAGCTGGCCCAGCCCGCCCTGGAGGACCCTGGCACAAAAGCATTGCTCATTCAGAAGAATTCTTGAAGATGCCCTCCAAGTGACAGGTGTGCTACGAGGGACTTTATGCTTTTCTCCATTTCCCTCCCATAACAGTCATTTATATTTTAGCTAAACATCTTTTTGTTTTTTGCACTTGGCCCCCTCTTACTTTCGTTCCTGGTAACCGTCATAAATTGAATCATTTAGATAAACGATAGGATTGCCAGGGGCCACCATGGCTTCTCCTTCGGGCATGCTGTATGACTCCAGGCCGTCTAGGAAAGGAGATGGTTGAGCGTCAGAAGAAGGAAACAACCCTTTCTCCTACACGTTTTGCCAGAATTTATCTTCCCTTTACTTCCATCCCAAAAGCTTATCTGAGACTTTCAAACTTCTCTGGAGGTTGACAGCTTTTCAGCGTACACAGGTGGACCACAAGTTGGTAACCATCAAAGAAGATGTCCAAATTAGGCACCTTCCTGCCATGGAAGGCCTCTAGAATCAACATATAAGTCATCGCAAAGGTGTTTTTTTTTCCAAAAGGCAATTGGATTTCCTTGGCTTTTTTCCCCTTGAAGACATTTTGCTTCTCCTCCAAGAAGCTTCTTCAGTTTTGACTGAATGGGGGGGGGCGGCGTTCTGAAGAACGTTTCCAAGAGAAAACCCAAGAAAGTCCCGTTGCCTTTTGGAAAAGCACCTTTGGGACCACCAGGACCTGGATGACTGAGGATCTCCATCAACAGAGAAGTCCTTACCAGACCAGACACAACCGTAGAGTTCTACTCTCATGCAGACCGTCATCGGCTGCTCTGTCACCGGGATGACACGGATGTAGCGAGCGATGATAGGCGGGCGAAGGTCCTTCAGCACAACTTCGTAGGTGTCTGTGTTGCCTTGGATCACCTGGAAGGGATTTGGCCATCTTAGAGGCACCGGACCTGGAGAATTGTGAGTCTTGAGAAGGGGAAGCCCATAGTCTCTATGGGTAGCTTTGAGTCTACCTGGTTGAGGGCAGCCTAGCTGGAAACATCTGGGAAGGCTGGAGAAGGCTACCGTGAAGATCTCAAGCAAGGATCGGGCCATCTGAGAACTTGATCGTGAACGAATTGGGGAGGGAGGTCCTTAAGTACATTTTAAGATGTGAGGGATTCTTTGGGAGTTCACCTTAGACTTTTGGTGACATTCCTATTACCACCATGATTTTGTCAGTTCCTGATGCCAGTAACAAGATGAACTAACCCTGGTTTGATGGTTTTTTCTGGCAACACTGATTTCCTCATTAATCCAATTTGTACGGACACGTGACTAGCTCAGGAAATATGCCCAGACAAAATGAAACCAACTACACTGTAGCTCAGAGCAGAGGTAGGAAGAGCTTTGCTCTTTCCTTCCCTCCAATATATTAAGTTACTCCCGCTTCTATTTTCCTGTCTGCTTAGGCAACCTACGTTCCTAACAGCTGCTAGGTCTGCACCAAGAGCCGGTGGTTTACAAACAGATGCAGAGAAATAACGTAAAAGGAAAGTAGCAAGGGGTCTGTGGGCAGGAGTTAAGCAACTTTGGAACTCATCTGGATGGGTAATAAATTAAGATTTATTCCACACACACACACACAAACACACTTTTTTTTTTTTTTTAAACAGGGCCTAACAGCTTTTGGTAAATGTATCTCGAGGGCTCCATTTCTCTTTGCAGAGTTTCCGTTGCTTGCCCACCTGCCTGTTCTGACGATCTTTCCAAGTGATCCACCGTTCGCCGTTACGACTGTAATTGATCCGATAGGCACGGGCGAACTCCTTCCCGGTGGCCCGGGCGTGGCGTCCTTGTGTTCCCACCAAGGTGATGAAGTACAGTTTGTGGAGGTCAATCTGGAGAAACTGCACATCTTCTGGTTGCAAGAGTCCGGCGGGACACCAAGCTCCATCGCCTTCTTCTCTGAGCAAGCTAAACGTGTGTGGGGCAGAAAGAGATGGAAGAGGAGAGTAGAAGCCATAACTCAAAGGCCAGGTTAGCCAACTGAGAAACGATGACGGAGGTTCTCCATCGTCCAGGTCAGGGTTGTCTCCAAGATGCTTTTCCAAAGATCAACTGGACTTCCTTGCTTCTCCCAAAGAGGCAACTGGACCTACTCGTTTTTTTTTGAAGACGTTTCGCTTCTCATCCAAGAAGCTTCTTCAGCTCGGACTGGATGGTGGGTGGAAGCGTCTTGGATGACAAAGTACGACCTGGATGACTGAGAATCTCCATCGAGATTTTCTCGCTTTTTCTTCAGAACTGAAGCTTCTTGGATGGATGAGAAGTGAAATGTTTTCCAAGAAAAAACAACAACAACCAAGAAGGTCCAATTTTCTTTTGGAAAAGTATCTTTGGGATAACTTGAATGAGGAACTCTATGGAGCAAGAACTAGATTCATGATTGCCGTTACCTATTGTAATTAACCTGGTTGATACCTAGCCTATTTTCTGGAGTCGCATAATGCCTTGATCCAAGTTGGCAAGGTTCATCCAATCCATTAACCCAGGAAAAAAACTCTAACCAATACGAATATTACCCTGGCTCGGTCTGGCTTATGTTATCTTTAATGGTTATCCTTCAAAATTGGACCAGACGACGAATCAAATCTCCCGTAGCTCAATATCCCACAAGTGCTTTTTCAAAAGGCAACTGGACTTTGTTTTTCCTTGAAGACGTTTCGCTTCTCATCCAAGAAGCTTCTTCAGTTCTTCAGCTTCTTGGATGAGAAGCGAAAAATCTTCCAGAGAAAACCAAGAAAGTCCAGTTACATTTTGAAAAAGCACCTTTGGGACAATCGTGACCTGGATGACCGAGAATCTCCGTAGACATGTAGCTCAATACCACTTTGTTGTAAAGCTGTAGTAACAGAGTTGTGCAAATTCTGAGCTTTCCCCTCCTTGTGTGAGAATTAAGGAGGGGCCTGAGACATTTTCTCACAATACATTCTTGGAAGGAATTCCACGCACCGGGCATATTGGGGTCCCGTTGAATCATACCACTGGCTGGACGCAGTAATGTCCTCGTCACGGATGGTCCCTTCGTACATCCCCAAAGGATAGCGGCATATTGCTGGGAAAGGAGAAAGAGGAAAGAGGAGAAGGACACCAGGTTTGCGGTGAAAAAAAGGTGAATACCCCTTCACCCAAGCTTTTTAAAACTCCGTGAAAAAAATACTTCATTTCCCTCGCTTGAAGCTCTGTGCTTATTTCCTCAGCTAGGCTGGAATTTCAGGCACTGAGAATCAGGCGCAGACTTTAAATTTAAGTTAAGCTTGTTTATTGCTCATGCCTATATACAAGAGCCCAGTAGTCAACTCACTGGTCAGCACTAAATTGGCACTAGGGACCATTTGTGACAACGTTAAAGACTCCAGGCTGATTCCTCTCTTGACTCCATCGCCTGGCTCTGCCTGTTCTCCTCCAAATGGAGAATATAAGTGAGCCCAAAATTTCTGTCACAGTTATTAATCTGTTAATTGTCAATCTGGCTTTCCCCTTGACTTTGTGCGTCAGAAGATCACAGAAGGGGATCACACGACGCTGGAGACACGGCAGCCGTCATAATATGAGTCAGTTCCAAGCAACCTCAATTTTGATCACGTGACCATGGGGATGCTCCAATGGTCATTAGAATGAAGAAGAGTCATAGGTCATTTTTTTTAAACGGTCACTAAATAGAACTGTTGTAAATCAAGGACTACCGGTGTCAAAGCAAGAACATCCAGTGTTAGCAGCGTTGATATCTGCTAACGTTGGAAGTTCTTGCTCTGACAACCTGTATTACTGTGGTTGCATTGTTCAAATGTGTTATTTGCCACAACACTAACGAATCATGCTTTTTGTAAATAAAAACGTACTTAATGTACTACAGTGTTGTGGAAACATATCGCCCAGAGGATCAAACTAACAACTTAGTCCAATATTCTGTCAATCCCTTTGCTAATCCCGTCTTATCACACAAGGACACAATGACTCAACTGCCACATGTCCTTTTAATGCCATTTCAGGTCATTCCAGCATTGGGGTTCTGGCCAAGTACAATATATCAATATGTAATCCTGTCTTGACAAGAAACAAGAGGCTATTTTGGGGGAAAATATGCCTTATCTAGAAAAGCAGAGGAACATAAATCCAAAAGCTTTCTCTTGAAACTGACCGGATAAGCTTTGGTGAAACTGACTCTTCTGGATTACCTACGGAAATAACATCTCTTGTGAAATCAACCAGAAAGAACGGAAGAGTCCAAAGCCATCTTAGAATAAGGAGCTTTTTTCTGTCTTGGCTTTTAATGGACAAGAAAAACATGGCTGCTGTTGTTATTTTTCTATATTTACATCCCCTGACCAGAAGGAAGGAAAAATATTTATCTAGTCCCATCTGGAGACAAGAAATCAGATTCAATAAATACAATTGGCTGGGGATTAATCCTCAAATTCTGGTGTCTCTCCCACGTTTTCTAAATTGATGGGGTGAGTGCCTTAGACTTGCATCATCAACACGGCAGAAGTGGCGTCTTGAAGAATGCATAACGGCCCATAAACGTTATGCCCATTTTTGCACAGACTTTAAACGGTTACTGATGGACTGGGTAGAAATGGAACAGGAGATATTTAAGGATGGGGAAGCAAGGGGTATTTCTGTTTAGTTATGAGGTTCATACCAGGATTGACTTCAGACCCCCAATATGGTGGAAATCCAGCCAAGAGCAGAAGAGATAAGCAGAACATCCTCGGTGAAGGTAACCTGCAAATGGGTCACCTCCGTTGGGCAGTGTGAGGGGTGCTCAGTCACTGCCATTCATGATTCTGAGGGAAGAGAGAAAAAAAACTCGATTAGAACTAGAGGATCGGGTTCTAGATCAGCTGCCAAGCACCAGGTGAATCAAGAGATCTGGACTTCCTTTGTTTTTCCTGGAAGACGTTTCGCCTCTCATCCAAGAAGCTTCTTCAGTTGAGTCAGAACAGTTCTTGAGCCTGAACTGAAGAAGCTTCTTGGATGAGAAGCGAAACGTCTTCACAAAAGTCCAGTTGCCTCTTGAAAAAGCACTTTTTGGGACCTCCAGTGCAGAAAGCGATGGTCCACCTCAATTATCCCTCGTTGCTTTTACACAGAAAGAACGTTTAAAAACATGGGACCCTTCCTCGCATTTTGATAAGGCTTAAATGAGCTGGCCAACGCCTTCTTGGATCGGCGAGAGGGAAGAAGGACAGCCATCAAGCACGCCGCTGCTCCTGCAAATCATATCCTGGAGGAAATTAACTTTCCGCTTCTGAACACAATGGAATTCCTTTGCTCGGGCCGTCTTCTGGGCGTGCAGACCCAGCCCCAAACGTCCGTCCCGAAGCCAGCTTTGCGAGGTGCGAGCGAAGACTCCGATCTCCTCTCTAGCTTTCCGACAGCCTAGCACAAAAGCGTTAAAATTCTGCTTGCCGGGGACCCAGGGCGTGTTGTTTTTTTTTTTTTCTGCCGCTAATTGCTAACAGCTGCGAGAACTGTATATTTAAAAAAAAACCATATTACAGCAGAAACGGTGGTGATAGCAGAAGACAAGCGAGGAAGGTTTGGCCAAGGTCAAAAAAGAAAAAAAAAGGGGGAAAAAAAGGTGCTCGGAGCTGGAGAAGAACAACCCTCTTCCTTTGCAAGTGGCCAAAAGCCCCACCTGTCCTTCTCACCTTCTCCTGTCCCTCTACTTTTGAGGTTCCCCCCCCCTACTTTCTCTCTGGCACAGGTTTCCAGCTCTGATCCGCCTGGCGTGCCACGCTCCCTGGCCTGCTTTTGCACACGCGTCAAGTCTTGCTCGCATCCCCGCGCCTCCCCCCAGCTCAAGTTCTGCTCGGAGAACTATCCCTGGAAGGAAGCAGACAACGAGGATCCCACCATCTGCCTGCCTTCTGCTTCCCTCTCTGGGTCTTTGTTGGCTAACGAGATCCGTGGCCGTCTCTGCTTCTCTGCCCCCCCCCCCACAACTTTGGGAAAGGGTTTGGATGCTTGCTGTCCCCTTCCTCCCCCCCCCCTGGATTTCCCCCTGCTTTTTTCTCTTCTGAAATATCAGCGTCTCCAAAGGAGGAACTTTCAGCTGGCTCTATCTTTTGGAAGAATGACAGAATGGGAAGAGAGCCTGGAGGTCATCTAGTCCAGCCCCCTGCTCAAGCAGGAGACCGGCCTAGACCATTCCAGACAAATGGCTGTCCAATCTCTCTCTCTCTCTTTTTAAACTCCAGTGTTGGAGCACCCACAATTTCTGGAGGCAAACTGTCCCACTGTCAAGAAATTTCTCCTTCGTTCTAGGTTGCTTCTCTCCTTGACTAGTTTCCATCTGTGACAGAATAACAGAGTTGGAAGGGACCTAGGAGGTCTTCTAGTCTAACCCCCTGCTCAAACAGGACACCCTATATCATTTGAGACAAATGGCTGTCCAGTCTCTTCTTCAAAACCTCCAGTGATGGAGCACCCCCCAACTTCTAGAGGCAAGCTGTTCCACTGGTTAATTGTCCTCGCTGTCTCTTGCCTTCCTGTGAGCTTGGATGACCCCTACTGGGTCAGGAAAGCGAAATGGGGGCAGAGTGGTGATGATCATTTTGGTTGGGCCTCGTGTAACCACACACGAATTCCTCAAGTCTTCCGTGAATGGTGCAATGGCATGGCAAAATCTGCCTATCTTAGCCAAGCAAAGTACAGCCTCGGCCTCTGGTGACCCCCGATGGGTGGGATTTTGATTACCAAGAGCTAGAAGGCAACAAGGGAGCTGTAGCCCTCTGTGTGTGTGTGTGTGTGTGTGTGTGTGTGTGTGTGTGTGTGTGTGAAATCACTTAATTGGGGAAGGTTGATGCTTTTCTTTCTCTTTCTTGTAAGTTTTTAGCATTTTTCAATTTGGATTCGTGGGGTATCGCACTCTGCTTTCATTCTTTCATACATGGGAGAATCTCTCTCTCTCTCTCTCTCTCTCTCTCTCTCTCTCTCTCTCTCTCTCTCTCTCTCTCTTTCTCTCTCTCTCTCTCTCTCTCTCCCCCCCCCTGTATGTATATCTATCTATCTATCTATCTATCTATCTATCTTTCTATCTATCTATCTATCTATCTGTTTATCTTATCCCTTGTCTCTTGTTTATCTTATCTCTTGTCTATATGTATCTATATTTATTTCCTTATTTTTATTTCTCTCTATTTGTATCTCTCTATTTTATTAACTTTATGTTTATCTCTATGTATCTATTTCTCTATCTCTATCTATCTATGTATCTATCTATGTATCTATCTACTGTATGTATCTATCTTTCTATGTATCTATCTATCTGTGTATCTTTCTATGTATCTATCTATCTCTATCATCTATCTATCTATCTATCTATCTATCTCTATCTATCTATATCTTCTCTCTCTATCCCTATTTATCTATCTCATGTATCATCTATCAATAAATATCTCCATCCTTCTCTATCATCTCTCTCTCTGTCATATCTCTCTCTCTCATCTGTCTGTCTGTCTGTCTGTCTGTCTGTCTGTCTGTCTGTCTGTCTATCTATCTATCTATCTATCTATCTATCTATCTATCTATCTATCTATCTATCTATCTATCTATCTATCTATCTATCCCTCCACGTATCCCTTCTATCCTACATATTCATTCCATCTGTCGATCAATTTCTCTGTCTCTCTGCCTGCCTCTCTGCCTCTCTATGAATTGTCGGGCATCTCTGTGTACTACAGAAGGAAGGGCCCTGTTTGGCCCTTCAGAATTAAAAAACAACGACCACAACAATAGCCAGATCCTCCCTCCCTCTTCCCGGATAGAACTGGGCCAAGAAAATAGCAGCCCCTCTTCCTTCCTCTAAGCCAGAAACCAGAGAGAGGCAGCTCCGCGCTCTTCCGGCTGCCCTGGGCCCTGCCCTCCGCCTTCCCCTGCGATGCCCTCGGGGCAAACATGTCAAGAACACGGCTTCCAAATTCCCCCTCTCCAGCCTTGCCTTCCTCTCCCTTTGTAGGGGAGGGAGGGGCGGGCAGG